TGCTCGTAACACTTCCTTACCTCTGTCTGTTTCTTCTGGTCAGAACCCAAAAATTCATGAGATCTTCGTCTTCTTCTTTCCATGGTTTTATGCTTAGTAATGGCGAGGTGGTTAAAGATTCTGAAAAGATGTGCGAGGTTGCGGCAATCCATTATGAGGATCACTTTAAAGAGCCAGAAGTTTATCGTCCACATCCGTACACCGCTGCTCCGGAAGTTGTTTGGGACAATTATGAGGAAAAAATTTCACCTCGTTCCTTTGAAGAGGTAGTGGATGTTGTTTGTCATCGAAAAAAGAAGAAATCGCTGGATAGTCTTGGAATATCGAACTTTATTTTCAATTTTCTACCTCTTTCATTCTGGTTTCTCTTTGTTAAAATAGTCAATCATTCGTTTTTGGAAGGAATAGTGCCTGAAATGTGGAAAGAAACAAGAATGTTGTTATTAGCTAAGAAAGAGTCCATTTGTGAACCTGGTGCTACTAGGCCAATCTTATTGCTAGATGTTTTTTCAAAAGTTCACGAAAAGCTATTTTTGACTAGATTTAGGAAGGTGTTGAATAAGAGAAGATTGTTGCCTGAATCACAATCTGGCTTTCGACCAGAGTTTCGTTTACAAACTCGTGTACTGTTGTTCTTCGAGCAGATTTCTAGTTGAATGTCTAATCGTTCACCTGTAGCGACAGTTTTCGTCGATTTTAAGAATGCATTTGATCAATTGTGGCATACCGACTGTCTTGCTTAATTAAAAAGAATGAGAATTCCAAAAAATTATGTACATTGGATAAATGTATGGTTGAGTGGGAGAAGGGCATTTATAGAGATTGGTGGAAAAAAAGTCAAGATGGTTTAAAATAATGAAAGGAGAACCGCAAGGAAGCATATTCACTCCAACACTTTTCATTTGTTATCATAGCGATATGGACATTTTTCTTGGCTTTTGTTTAAGTCATTTTTTTGCCGACGATTTGGCGGCTATTCTAGCTGGTTCTATTGGTATGAAATACACTTCTCAGTGTCTTGATTTAGAATGTAAACTCCAGCTCTTTTTCGATCGATTAGAATACTATTGTTGTTTGGCAGTTCAACCTATCAACTACGATAAAACACAAGCACTCTTTTCAGCATGTGCTATCGGTTATCCAAATATAGAGTTGAAATGTGGCGAGAATGATACTCTATGGACAAAAGTGGTTAAATATTTAGGTTATATCATTACTCCTACTTTGGGTTTTGGTGTGTTGATTAAAAAAACAAGGATAAAAATTCGTCAAAGGATTGCCATAATTATCTCTTTTCGTTTCGCTGGATTCACTTCTCTATCTCTTAGAAAAGCTTTGTTTCTCTCATATGTTCTTCCTTTGTTCGTTTGGTTGTTTCCTCTCTATCCACTATTAAACAGCAGCAAGATTCAAATCACTTTTATAATACGTGCTTAAGAAGGATTACGTACTGTCTTCATTGGAGGGATAACTTCTTTTCTTATGCATTTAATGAACGTTCTTTGGAAGACCGGTGTTGTAAATATTGGAATAAATATTTTGTAGCCTTGTCAGATACTGTTGATGGTAAATTAATCTTTGAGGAGGCGAATTTCAATGTTTTTAGAGAATCTTGGCGTCAGAAAGAGCACAGTGTCAAAGGGGTTTTTAGATCTAAAAGATTTGATGCACATACGTCGCTGTTAGAGAAATGTACATCATGGTGCGCAGGCATTCTCTCGAATGAATCAATCTTAAATTATGACATAGACGAAATTCAAATCTTAAGCGATTTCCCCGAAACATTCTTATCACTACTTCTTCCCTACTTTTTCTATTCAGTATGTTTTAGATGTGCATTTTTTAAACAAAACTATAATTAAACGAATAATTGTATAAAAACAGAAAAAAATTCTTTTTGATCTAAATGACTTAAATGTTTTTGTTCTTTTTCGCTATCTCTCAACTCTTCTGTTTTGAGTCTTAAAATTTCCCTTTCTTCACTTTGAATCTTAAGTCTGTGATAACTTATTGTTTCTAGATGTTGACGCATGCACATAGCTTGTCATCTTACTTCTCTACTTTTCTATAACGTTTTCTTTTCCACTCTTGTACTATAAGGACCATAAATGGTCACAGTTATTTGCAAAATAAAACAAAGAAAATATGACTATCTTCTGTACAAAGAAACTTAAGGCATTGGTAGATACTGGAACAACCGAGCGCAGAGTTTAATCGACGATTATAGGAATCAACTACAGCTGCATGATTATCTCTATTAGCAGCAAAAGGCCGTATTCTTTAAAAAATTTTCGAAACCCGATGATTTTTCGTGTTAGTAAGGATGGAAGACGTAGTCGAAAAACATTTTTCCAAATCAGATAGTACATTTCGTCCAAAACTCAACGCTGATCACTATCATAAAGTTTTTTTCGATTCGTGTAAGTTCTAGTTGATCGCTCACCCCCTATTATTCCTGCTGATAAAAACCATGGACTTATGGCTCAGTCGTTTTTCAGCATTGTTGAGGCTTCCCAAGCTGCGTCTAATCATTGGTAAATTCCTGGGAAACGTACCACTTTGTACAAAACTATTGGTGCAGGCCATAAGAGACATACTGTTTGAGCAAAACTGGATGCTGAATCTAGTGGCAATATACACAATTTATTAGTTTTATATTTAGAAGAGTGAAATTTGATTAATATCTTAACGAGATAATCCAACCATGGTGTCTATTTAACCCAAAGATTAGGGCGATAACATAAAATAACAGCTAGATTTTGATTTGCAGTTATACAATGACGGCCAAAACTTTCCGAGCACTCCAAGTGTTTTTCCTTCTGATCCTAGCTCGGTAATGAAAAAAGCTTTTGACAAGGGCTCAGCATCAAAATATTGACCGACCAAGAATATGGCACTTCTGGCTTAAAGTCGCGTTTTCACCCTAAGGAGAAAAACTTTTCAGAATCTTTTTATAAAAATCTAACTCGCGCTCTGTACTGTCAGGTAATGTAGTTTTCATATTTAATCAGTACCTATGCAAAGTATAAAAAGATTTTTATTAACTGTACGGAAAATATTTGACGACCTAAAAAAGTTCACTTTTCAGTCTAATGAGCCTGCAAAGGGCAAAAATGAATATTTCTACCTTTTTTTTCTTTCGAAATATACTAGAAACTGCGGACAACATTTGCTGCCACTGAAACTTATAACTGCAAATCAAAATCAGGTTGTTCAGAATATTGTCCAAGTATGCGAATTACTATGTGACGCAGAGCAGAGGCCAAAGAGATGATACAACGACGAAGCCGCCGAAAACAAGCGGGACGAGAATAATTAGAAAGCAGAAAAACATTGCTAAATGAAACTTTTACAGCATGATTATAACTAGCCTTAACGAGTAAAGATCAGATTATGCTATTGCGTGGCCCTATGATTAACTTATATGATGGGAATGGTTTCATTCCGTGGCCTAGACTTTCTTCTTCAATAATTCCCATGCATCTGGAAATTCGTTTTTAATTTTCTATAAACTAGAAATTTGACATCGAATTCCCAGTTTCTTGAGAATTATTTGTAGAAATTCGATCGATTTTCTAGAAACTGGAAATTCGCCTAAGAATTTCTGGACCAACTGCGTATTCACCTTTTTTTTACAATCACTGTAGGTACAAGAACGTCACGTAAAGACACTCATATAACACTTAAATCAGCTTTGACAAGTTCCGTTTTAAATCATAATTCTGCCTATGCCAAAGAGAATTTGGACTTAGACAGAGACAGTGGCGACGCGAAGGACAGTTTCGATAGAAAGGGACCTTTCTATCGAAACTATTCATTAATATTCAATATATTCAATTAAATACTTCGTGGTCCCTGAAAAGTCATAGGGGCCAGACTATACATTTCGTACAATAATTGTACGTATATCTGATCCTATGTTGATTTTGAGATTTAAGATACGAAATAATAAGATTACATAAGATTGTGTCTAATTTTGTACGATCATATACGATATTACGTACAGATGATTCTGACTACTTTTTGCTGATTTCTATCGTTAGTCCGCTTTTGCTTTTCTTGTGCGTTTTTCTGCCGCAAAAAGAGTAAGAGAAGCAGTCCTTTCAACAGTAAGACACATTTTGTCGGTGATCTCTTTTATACGCTGCTATGATCCGCGCAGTTTTGACTCATCTCAACCCAATTTTCGAACGTACGCTTAGGCGAAGCTTCGAGCGCAAACGTTGTCATCAAACTAACTAAATCTCTATAAATATAGCACTCAAGCTAAAAACGCACGGCCAGTAAAGGGAGAGGCTTCTAGGCCTAATCTTTTGAATGAGCGCTGCTTCCTTCTAAATTCTGAATGTCATACTAAAACAGTGTTGTCGAATAATCAGAATTCAGTTTCAAGAAAGGCCAAAGATAAATAAATGGGTTAAGCATTGTACAACGTCGTGAGGATAGTAGATGGTGCTGCTAAGCAGCTACTGTGCTTAGTGCTTTGAAATTCAAGTGAATTTTCTGCAGCAATATACTTCTAACACTAAACAAGTCATTTGAATTAGAAATTGAGCTCTTTTTAACACGTCAAATATAAATGAAAAAGCAAAAAATGATCTAAAGAGTACGATTTCGACTCAAATCAAATGAAACCCTACGACACGAACACGTTGGTTTGATATTCTAATATTTATAACAAATATTCTCTCATTTTAAAATTATATTTGTAAATTTTATTTTTATTCAACTTGGGGGATTCTATCCCCTAGATTCCTGAGCTAGAAATCCTGACTAAAACATTTATATTTTTATGGGAAATTATAGACAGTAATTAATATACAAATACTATTATTATCAGAAGCCACCGATTTTTCAATGTTATATTTAAAGCTCACCGTGTAATTTGTCTTTCACAGCGTATAGCACCTCAATTAGATCAAATATTTTATGCGAATGGACTTTATGAAATTGAAAAACAGTACTTTATTGTTGACTTATAACTAGACAGAATACTGTTTTCAAAAGTAGTAGTTTAAGAACATTATACTAATAACTGCGCCTGGCCATGAGAACCAATGTCTTGATGTAACCTTGTGATCATTTTCATCTACAGCTTCTGAATACAAACCATCCCATTGAATAATCTGGTTGGTTAAACGATTTAATAGTCTTCGTTGTCGAGTTTCATCATTAATTAAATGAGCGTATAAGAGTTCTTGAGCATCACCCAATGGCCATGGATGTCGAGTATGTACAGAACCTAATCCAACGACATAAAATCCATCCTTGTTTAGTGGAGAAAATGCAAATTCCATTGTATTCAACCATGCTTCATCGTCATGCGAGCAAAATTGCCAAAGCGGAGCATATACAGTTGGTAAATCATTTGCATCATGATAAAAGTGATGATATGAATTTTGATTATCAGCTACATATGCAAAAAGAAATTTATTCTGATTTTCGGGATGATTAGTACGAAAACATTCTAAGCAATCACGATACAAATTTTCTATCCAATATGTCAGATCAAAGCTTTTTACAAATTTTCTTTGTTCAAGTTGTTTTAATGTATACCATAAAAGTATTTGTGATGAAAAATGATACGGATATTGTACAGGATCATCGCCGGGTGTTTCATCTGTAGAAAAAATCCATTTTTCAGGATGTTTACAGGCAAGAATTGTTGTTAAAACTTCATCTATTTGGTTAACAAACATGTTCACTAATTCTATACAATCTCCTTTTTCTTCTTGATAGAGATCGTAATATTGGCATAATTCGAGCAAAGGATAACATTGCTGATCTAGTTGAAAAATTTTATCTTTACATTGACCATTTGTCAAATAAGAACGTCCCCAGTGCCCTTGGTCTAACCGCTGAGCTCGTTTGAACAACCACATGATATGTCCACGAAGAACAGATTTTATTTTTGAACACCATTCTACATGAAACGATTTGTTAATTAATTTTGGAAGATATTTCAGAATAGTTGAGAGTAGTTTCATTTGGTAACTATGCAAAAGAATATAAACATAACAGAGTTCGAGTTAAGAGGTTTACTCACTAATTATCACGATTCCATCCTAATGGTAAAATTTGATTATCTGTTACAATGCAATATGAATTATCATTGTCTCCGATTGGAATGGAGCAACAAGAAAGTATATACTCAACATTTCGCTGTATTATAAACAAAAGAGGATTATTATCGTTAGATATCCAACCCCTTGCTTCTGGTATTTGACCTGTTAATGGAGAAAAGGTGAGTTTCTCAGAAGTTAATAAATGATAACAAACAAAAACTATTCGATGTTGTTGTGGATTTAACTCCAGTTTGCCTGTCTGATTATATGAGACACAACCATTTGTAGATGGTTTTGAATCTGGAGTAAATTGTACTTGCTGTTCATTATCAATAAACAATGATATAAGAAGTTCTGATGATAAATTGAAATTTTGAATGGAAATTTGATTCTTTTTAAATTGAAGAACAGTATGGGGTGACGGTATTTCAATTGGTCCACCTTCCGTCAATTGAGCATAACTTGCACGATTAATATTAAGCTGACCACTAAAATCATATTGAATGGTTTCTGTTTCAATATTATTCATATTTCTAATTTCTATTTGATTGATCACTGAATATTGTTTACTTACAAAGAAAAGACTTTTGATTTCTATATTATCATTAATACGAAAAGTGAATAGCGGCCAGGCTGACTCTACAAATGCGATCTTCTTATCATACGTGTTTTCCATTCCTTGAACGCGAAATCCGTAGCCATAATTTTCGCTTTCAAGTAGTTTTTCTCGATATTTTCGTACAAATGGTACATTGTAGAATTGCTCATTGGGAAATTGTTCAAATGAAGTGACTGTAATATAACCAACCTGAGGATGATAACTATTAATTGATAATAGTTGACCGTTCAAACCGACACATCCTGAGACTGGACCATTACCAAAATCTAATGGTTTGCGATTTTGAACTCCAAGTAAGTTTGATAATAATTTATCATTGATCATGTCATCAAAAATCGAGAAATACTAGTTTGATACTACAAAAGGAAAAATTTATATATACATCTTGCACTAAGAAGCAAAAGACGAACGTTATCTATTTCACTATGTCAATACACCAGGTGAGGAACGTTTATGTCGTTTTACCGTCATGTTCGTAACACAGAATCTAAAAAAGAAATGACTAGTTTTCATAGCATTTGTGTCTTATGTGAGTAACAGAAGCCCTCAACTGATGTCACTTCATAGAGAAATGCCTAATGGAGTCAACAAACTATAAGCCATTTTCAAGAGTAGGAGGACATCGGTACGTGATGTCATATATCTTTTAAATCATCCACGCTCTCCATACTGCCAGTTAAGACGGATAAAAGACAGCTCCTGATCGATCCACAGCAGAAAAATATAGTTAAAAATCACGATTAATCAGGTGATTTGTTTTTGACATTTTGTAATAAAATAGACTCTTAGTGTTTAATGAGACCTGTTTTACCCCATAAGACTTAATATAACAGATCTGCTTTTGCGTGAATGATATATACCCATGTTTTTATTATGGTATTATTATGATTCTGCTAAGCATTTATTAGGTAAACTTTAGTACCTTATTATATTAACGTCTATCACGAGTAAAAATTGTCTTTAGCTGATTGGAGATAGTTATGAAATCTTTCGAGGGTTACTAGGAGATCTTTGGCAAACATTTTCTGTCAAAAAAAGTGTGAAAAAACGATTTCTCGTTAATATTTTAGGCAAGAAAAGCTATTTATTACTATCGGAGCCAAAATACAAGAGCAGTGGTTATTTCAGCATTTTGAATAATTCGGCACCAAATAAAGATTCAGAATATCAGCAAATAAAATAATACAGTAAATTTTAGCTCATTCTAATTTTGTACAATAAAAATATTCTTTTAGTTTCGGAGGTTTCTAGGAAGCCTTTCTACAGGCCAAAGTATTTCTGTTGATTTTTTTAAACATTTATTGAGCTTTACAGTATGCTGCAGATAAAATAGAGAATTTGCTGACATTCTGAAGCAGTTTAAATGGATTTTGCTTGATTTATGAATTATTTAATTTATGATGAAAATAATGAAAAATGGGTTATTTCACCTAGTATAAGTTTTTAGTCGACTTTTGCATTTTGTTCTGAAAATTAACATTGCCACGAGATTCAGCATAGTCGATAACCTATGCTTTCATTCATTTCTGACAGTTGGAAACCTAACGGCAGAGGAGTGTTAAGGCTTCAGGAAAGATGTCCACAGCTCCCAAACCATGGGTTTTCAAGATGTCGCTTGGACTCGGTTTTGTAGATGAGACCTCGGACTATATATGCGTTCAAAAAATCAATAAATTCTTATTTGAAATTCGGAAAATCCAAGTTGGTTTTTTAATGATCTTCTGGAAATTCGGCTTCGAAAAATTTTCCAAAAATCGATTTTGCTTGTAGAAAGATCACCTCAAGTCTTGGCTATCGAATGGTGAAAATCGCAAGCCTCTATCTTTATTTGTGCTGAGTTATTCAGAAAATAACCACTGTTCTTGTATTTTGGCTCCGATAGTAGTAAATAACTTTTCTCGTCTAAGATAACTGTTAACGAGAAATCGTTTTTTCACACTTTCAATATCTGTCATGCGAGGGGTGTCGAAAAGGAAATCACAGACTACAATTGCAGCTACAAAACGTTGTCAAGTGACAATTTTGTACTATCATCGGATGAAGATGAAAGAATGTTAATGGATTTAACAAACTGTTGTAGTATTGTTATAAAATAAGCTTTTTTAACAGAAAATGTTTGGCAAAGATCTCCTAGTAACCCTCAAAAGATCTCATAACTATCTCCAATGAATTTCTTGTGTTTTTTACCTATATGAAGACTTGAACAGAAAATTTGGATCTAAATTTCTTTTAAAAGTTATCAATCAGGCGCCCGATTGAAGCTATGCTCTGAGAAATTGCTGTATCTCTATGAAGAAAAAAAGTTTGGAAGGTTAAATCACACACATTCTTTACCAGTTCTATTATGTATAAAGATGCCGTAGCTATCGATGTTTTAAATTTGTAGTTGATATTTTTGGACGGATTAAATAAAACAATGTATATACTGTAAAAAATAAAGTGTGCCCGTAGATGTGTAAAAGTTCTAAGTGTGCAAATGCGAATCAAACTGGTGTGTTTTTTTCTAGGTGTGTAAAAGTCTCTCTATATTCGCAGGTGTGTAAATCTTGCCAGTGTGTTTCTGGTACATCACATCATGCATTCTAGACGTGCAGATGTGAATCAAAGTGATGTGCAAGTTAAGTGTGTTTTGGGCACACTTTATTTTTTACAGTGTAGTTTTGGGGCAAATAAGCATATGAGAATCACAGTTGCCGATAGACTTAGGCAAATTACTAAACTAACTGACTGAATCTAAAATTGAATTAAATAAAATACAGAGATTTTTAGCTTGTACAACTAAATAAAAATATTGGAATGAGTGCTAACCAAATAAGTTACCTACCTACCTTGAAGAAACTTCGAAAAAGTTTCCAGGAGAGCCACGGTGCTTATATAGTATGTGCTTCTGCAAAATATTACGGTATCTGCTTTTAGTAAGAATTTGATAAGAAAGTGGTAAGAAAGTGATAAGAACGTCTTATCAAAGTCACACCTCATTTTCATTTAAATCTTACGTGATTCTTATCGGATTCGTACCAAATTCTTGCCATTTTTATGAAAAGTTCTTGTGCAAGCATCTGGGTTTTCTACAAGATAAAATATCAGAAATTTAGTACGATTTTTTCTTGTAATTCTGTACTCGATAATAGCTAGTCCGGATTCTCAGCTTGAACTACATAAGAATCCGACAAGACTCGGATAAGATTCTTATCAGAAATAAAATAAAAAATTTTCGTCTAGGGCATTTGTTTTGGTCCAGTTTTTCTGTCAGACAATAAAAGATTTTTAACTTTGTCCGAGTTTTGACACACAATAAGTAAGTAATTTCCAGACGACAGAGGAGAAGCGGCGAAATTGTAAAAATCCATAAATTTCTGTGAGTTATACGCATTTTTACAATTTACCTGTTACATACTGAACTGTGCACAGTACTGCCTGATATCTCGCAAAAATAGATATCGACAAAACACACGAGATATTAGTAAAATATGTGAGATTTTAGTGAATACATGAGATATTAGAAGATAAATTTAGATATTGGAAATTCACGAGATTTTAGTAAAATACACAGGATATTAGTGAAATACACGAGATATTAGTAAGAAAGGGCGGGTGCAGTATGAGAGTGAGTTTCCAAAAAACATTTCACTACTAGACTTGGGCATTTCTGGGATATTTTGCTAATATCCCAGATATGTTACTAACATCTCGTGTATTTCACTAATATCTTGTGTATTTTAGTAAAATCTCGTGAATTTCCAATACCTAAAGGAGTAGGGTGGATAAAACCCTTTCCTGGCCCTCAACATTTTCGGCTATTTTGCATTGGAATCACGTCAGGGGATGCTCAGGAACATTTCCAAACACTTGGTTTCACGAAATCTCTCGGTCTGGTTTTTGAGACCTGAGGTCTCCTCCAGGATTTCTGGAGAACTTTTCAGTTTGATTTCGATGAAAAGCATCTAGACATATGTAATCGACCATGCTGATCACGAATATAAAGGTTAGAACGCGTGAAAGTATTTGGTTTGGCCAGAAACTCAAAATTAGTCCCTTTTTTCAAAACCCAATATTGGTTGCTGGAGAAATATCACAGACTATCAGCTAAGAATCAGGGACTGGTAATCTCAGAGGTAACTTAATCGTTTATCTTTTGTTTTATTGTTAGGAAGAATTTAACTAACAACTATCTAGAAAACCGTTGTATTAGTTTACATCCCAGTCTTCGATCATCTTGAATGACTTGATTAGTAAATCGTCCTTTATATGAGCTTAATGTGGTTTATTCTTCTGGATATTTTTACTCCATAATGTAAATTTTTGACATTGTTTACAATAGACTTCTAGATATTCCTTTGACTGAGAATAATTTCGGTCATAATAATCAATCCACCAATTATAGAACAATAATTGACTGTTCGAGGAGATTCTGTCTGTTGATTTAATCATTATTCGACATCTCTTACACCCAAAATTATTGATACCTTGCAACGGTTTAAAGTCGTCGACTTTTATTCCTTGAATTGTTTGTAAACCATCAATTAAAATCTTAACGTCATAAATTTGTTGTTGACAATTTTGTTGTGGTAGATCAATCATACCACGTGGTTCATTTGTGGGTAATAAAGAACTAAACGATGTGTCATTCTTTATCCTTTCTTTAAATGAAGAATGTTTGTTCCTTGAGTGTAAGACAATGGTCTACATTAATAAAATGATGGTTTTTAAGCTATGCAAAGTTAAGAAAATGTAAAAAGTCTCGTTTGGATTTTGTCAGTCAATGCGTAAGTTCGTCAGTGGGGATAATCAGAGTTAAAATAGTGAGTAAATTTACTAACGTGTGTTTCCCGATGTGTTTCTTATGCACTCTAACAAGCTATAACTAGTAGGCATTATGAGTCAAACTAAGGTGCGTCTCCGATATGCCCCTTACGATGACGCAACAGATGAGTCTCCCGATATATGAGCTCTTGACATTTAAACTCCCCATACTTGAGCCTCCCGAGACGTGAGCCTTCAACATTTGAGTCTAACGAACAGAAAAGTACGAAAAATCCAATAAAGTTCTTGCTCTTTTAAAATATTCCTTTCTTGTGCTTAGTTCAAAAGTAACAACTAACTATTGTAGTTATTCGTCCATTTGTTCATATGCAGCACGTTTTGTCAGTTTTACAAGTCCATCTTCTAAGTTCTCTGGGTTTATAAGGTCTGCATATATATATATTTTGAATTAGTTAGAAAATGAAATTTTGCGAGACCGGTCTGATTTGTGAACATCTGCAATTTACATAATATCTAGATGTTCAGATATTCAGATATCTTCCTCTTTTCTTTGAGAGTGG